CCTGCGTCGGGCCACTGCCGCGTCTCGGCACCGAGCGCTGGCGTCTGGGCGCGTTTCGGGGCTGCGCGGGACGCTCGTTTCCCCAGTTCTTACTGTTATTATTTTATCTCAACTCGGAATGGCAGAGGAGGGTTTAAACGCGCCAGGCTTAGTCTTTGCACAGCCCCGTGAGGTCATGGGTGTCCTCCTGTGGTGTCCAGAGCAGACATGGGAAGGGTGAAGGTGTGCAGGTGACAACCCGAACAGCCGTCGTGGCTTTTCCTGGCGTATCTCATCTCTTTCTCCACTCGGGAAGAGCACAGCTCGGTTTGCCCGCGCCCCTGAGCTGCCCGGAGACAGGTCCGAGTGCAGGCGGGACCGGGCTGCGAGGTGCTCTGGGTGGAAGAGGGGATGCTGAGAAGTTCCCAGCACCGTCGAGGGCTGGAACACCGGCACGCTGTCCTAGGCTGCGCTCCTAGGCAGGGATGTTTGTCCCTCTTTACTTTTTCACAGCCTGCAGCGGGTCCTGGGCGGGCGGTGGGATGGGGAGTGTGCAGTTCTGCAGGCTGCATTGTCGCCGGGGGCATCCCTGGGCGTCCGGAGCAGGATTTCGGGTGTGTCTCCGTTACTTGGTGTAGTAGCTCCTGCGAACTGGCAGGGACTGGCCGCGGCGCACGTGCCTGCCGGGTGAAGGGGTGATGGCCTGCAAGAGTTCTGCAGTCCCGTGGACGCAAAACGCAGTTCCAGCTGCCTTCACAAGTTTTTAGCGTATTGTGCTGTCTGCAGAGAGCGCTAAAGGAATTTTTTTGGGAGCACAGAGTGGCTTTATGGAGTTTGTCTGGTGGGTTCCCCCCACACCTCTCGGCTAATCTGGGTGGGAATCGGAGCTCGGGTTACAGCAGCTAATCCCAGACTATAGAGAGCCCGGCCTCCTGAGGCTGTAATCTCTGAGTATAGCCATCCTCCCTGGCGGGGCTTTGAGCCTGGGGGGCCGTATCGGTGTCAGATTTTTATTACTGCGCTGGGGATGCGAAAGCGCGCAGGCAGGCGGGCGGCCCTGCACAGATGGATGCACGTGTGTCCAGCAGACCTGCTCTTGGAGTGGAGACGGGCTGAGACTTGGGCTGAGCATCGTCTGCGTTCGGTAAGATCCCCAGGGTGGTTGCGAGTGAGCAGCTGGGATGGTGGTGGCCTTCTCCTATGGGCCTAGGCTTGGTGGCCGTGGTGTCCCCAGCATTGGTGCGAGCACCAGCTTCAGGGGTTTCTGCTGCCCTGTTGCTGCCTCCCTGCTTGTCCTTTCTGCCTCTCTGTCAGCGTCGGTGGTCTGGCGCCCCGCAGCCAGGTCTGAGTTTCTTCTCTCTAAGGGGACGTGCTGGAGGCTTGGCAGTGGGTGGTCACAGCCCCGACCTGGAGATTGGCTTGGCTTGGGGTCTTGAGATGTGAAATGAGCCCACATGCCTTGTGGGACCACCTGCCTTCCCAGGAGATGCCCAGGCCCACCCGTGCTGCTTCTGTGGGCTGTTAGGGGTCTAGCCTGAAGCCCCTCCCGTTCTGCTTGCCTTGCTGTCCACAAATACCAGCAGGAGACGGTGGCCTGTGCCGTGGGGCTGGGAGTTTTATGGCTTTTAGGGAGTTTACTGTAGTTTCTGTGGGGTCTTGAGATGCAGTGATTTGGAGATGGTGCTGCTTCTCCCCGGGCTTGAGAAGCCTTGAAGGGTGTGTGCGCTGGGGACACAGCGGCAGTGGTGGGACCATGGAGGAGACCCATCCCTCTCTCACGCTTGCAGCCCCGGGTTGAAGCAAGCATCCCGGGGAGCCGCGCCTGGGCAAAGC